GGATCTAGTGGCCTGTTATAAACTAGTCAGGGGGGATCAGCAGGCACTGGGGGAGTCCCTGTTCCCCTGAGCACTGCCAGGAGTGACCAGGAGTACCGGTCACAAGCTGGCAGAGGGTAGATTTAGGCTAGATATCAGGAGGCGCTATGTCACTGTCAGGGCGGCTAGGGTCTGCAACCAACTTCCAAGAGAAGTGGTGCAGGCTTCTACCCTAGGGGTTTTTAAGAGGAGGTTAGATGTATACCTTGTTGGGGTCGTTTGACCCCAGTACTCTTTCCTGCCACGGCAGGGGGTCGGACTAGATGATCTACTTAGGTCCCTTCCGACCCTACCAACTATGAAACTATGAGAGAGACCCATAGATTTCAAATGGAAACCCACAGTGTCAAAAACTCTCTGACCTGCTGTGGTCTTTCTGGGTCCTTTGCAACTGAAAAGTTGCTCTGTTGTTTTTCCATAGTTGAGAAGTGAGTGCAAGCTGGTATCTTCTGAGCAGTGCCTTGAGTCTAAAAAAGGTTTGAAAACCACTGGCCTAGAGGTTGCAGCGAACATTAGAGCTTCATTGCCATAGGTACTGTCCAGACGCATGATGAGAGACAGTTCTTGCCATAATAAGTTGCTGATCTAAAAAGACCTAACGAAAGGGTGGGAGGGGAACAGGCATTGTGGGAGAGAACATGAATTACCTAAGGTCACACTAGAAGTCAATAGGAGAATCAAGAATGAAAAACAGGTCTCAACGTTGTGCCCTATCCACTACCCATGCTGCCTTTTACCTGTGTTTTCTGTGCCATTGTGAGTTCAGTATACAAATCTATGTGGCATTCACTGTACACGGATCTATAGGAAAACAGCTTAAACAGTCAAGATTCTCAAAGATATTTCATTTGTAGACTCGCTGGGTCTTCTTTTTCTATTTGTACAGCTCCTAGCACAATGGGGTCTCAGTCCACGACTGGAGAAACAGAGCGCTATGGCACTACGCGTTTGTGTCAGGGCTTTAAAGAGATGGGAGGAATGGCAGCTGGATGGTGCTTTCCTGGTGAGGAGCTCACAGCTCAGTTTTGCTATTAGGCACCCAAGACAGCAGTGCTGACGTTCCTCTTTCATTCCTGCAGGCGGGATCGGGTTTGGACGTGCTAAAGGAAACTCTGGCTCCGAGGCAGACGATGAAACTCAACTGACCTTCTACACTGAGCAGTATAGGAGCCGGAGGCGAAGCAAAGGTAAAAATAAAGTAGCAGGAGCTCTTAAGAGGCAGAAGAAGCAACCCCTTCAGCTTGTGTCCCCTTGTGTTGCCCCTGGTGTATGATGGCTGCAGTACCTTAACTTGGTCTATGAGGAAGGATCATTGCTCTCAGTAATTCACAATCAACCTGTAGATAAAAATGTCCCAGCCTGGGACTGCTCTTTTCCGCCAGCGGGATGTGGGAGACATTAGCAATGTTTTGTAGTGATTATATCAATTGGCTCGGTAGCTTGTTAGCATCTATTCCCTCATCCCCAGTATCAGTCACGTTAAAGATTTAGGAAGCACTGATCAATGATCATGGGTCCCTTTTCTTCTGCTGCTCTTGCAGAATGTGGCCAGGTGGGAGTTCAAGCTCACCACTAGCATTGCTGCACTGATGCAAATACCTTCTGTCAATATGTGCAACTGCCATATATAACCAGGTTAGGAAAAGACTAGACAAATTCATGGAGGATTGATCCATCGGGGCCATAAAATATAGGGATATAAATTTCTGACCAGTGGTAACCGGGAGGGCAAGATACAGGATGGTTCCCTATACACATGCTTTTTCTTGGTTTCTTCATCTAAAGCATCTGCTACTCACCATGATCAGAGACAGGAAACTGGGCTAGGTGGGTATGTCTTATTCTTAAAATGGGATATACCCTGAGATGGATTGCCATAAACTGAATGGGTGTATACAACAACTTTCTGTCTGCACTATGGGGTTAGGTTGGTGCAGCCCCTGTCTTGATCCAGCCACCAGTGACAGTAATTGTAGCAATTCTTCTGGCTAAATAAAGCCCAACTTTCTATTTTCTATCCTTGTCTAATGTTTGTCAGCAAAATTCCAGTTAAACTGAAATGCCCCACACCTTCTGTTAACACAAAGGCAATTAAAAGAAACAAGTACAAAATGAGGGCTGGGGCAGAGATTTTTTTTATTTTTGCAAAACCCCTCCCCAGTAGGGCTTTTAGTGAGTTCTAGGAGCAAGGAAATGAAATGTCTAGGGTTTAAAACAAGTGTCCACAGTTTCCCCACTCAAATAATGCCAGAATGACTTTGGTAAAAAGCTCAGATTATCCTTGTACCCCGTTTTCTGCGGGGATCCATGAGATTTTTGTTGCTGCTATTGCTGTATTTTAAAAAAAAATCTCTGTTAAGCAATAACAAGGTTTGGAAGTGATTTTAAGATTGCACAGTGGGTCTGTGCCCTACACTTGTTTTCTTTATTAAGCCAAGCATAGCTAGAGTGCAGCATTCCAGATAGATGCCTGCACCCAGCAAAATAAATGCAGCTCTATTTATTTCAATGATTAGGCATTCAGATAAATGCGCATAACATGTTTATTTCAATGTGAAATTACCTCTACACCTATGATCGGCTCACTGATTGCACGTTGGAATAAACAGACACATATTGCATTCGTTTCTCTAGGCTGAGAATACATTCAGGTGTTTTTCTTTTATTTTCGTTCTTTTAGGAGAAAAGGAAATTCGGGGTTACAGAAATTTCTGCTGGATTATACTTGAGATTTTAAAGGCTCAAAGAATTCAGAAGTTGAGGCTTTCTGCAAAGACATTGTCTTAAAAGTAAATATGGGATCATAGGATCAGAGATTTTGCTTTTTTTTGGTGGGCATGCAGGGAGGTTCCTATTCTCCAAACAGCTATATAGGGCACAATCCTGCATTGGCAGACACAGGGAGTCATATTTTCAAAACTGTCCAAGTGACTTAAATGCTGAAGTTTTTAAAACTAACATAGGCACTTAGGAGCTTACAACTCTCTGCTTTTCTGTGGTCATGGCCAGACATAAAAGTTATACCAGCATTATTCTGATATAACTGCTTAGTTTTTTACCTTCTGTACTGCTGTACAGTCTGCACTTACATCAGTTTAACTCACTTAGGCTTCCTGGCATGTGTTCATCTAATGGTGCAATGGGACCTGATCCCCGCCCCCAACAATCATGCCTCCTGGCATGCCACGTGTGCATGGAAAGATTTCAGGATAGGGGATCAGATCCCAGTCACGTCATTTCTGCTTGCCAGTGCGGTGGGGTCAGTGGTCCAGGGATCGTGATCCCAGGCTCCTCTGCACCAGCAAGTTGAAAGCTGGGTGCCCATAGCCCAGCATGAACTGTGAACTGATGCAGTTCTGATCCTGGGGCCGTCCAATGGTCAGTTTTGAGCCCCAGGACCACACCAGAGCCAGGACTGACAATCAGCTGATCGTGGGTCCCAGCTCCAGGACTACACCGGGACAGTTTCGGAGTCCCATGCACTGGGATGTCAGAAAGTCTGGTGTGCAGCTCAGCTGCATGTGTATTTTTTTTAAGGTCCTGGCACTCATGGTCCCTGGGATCAGGGAACCTCTCCCCAATCCCAGGGTCCCTGTGGCCAGCATGTGTCAAGCGTATTGCGCTGCAGTTCTCTGGGAGTTGTAGGCCAAAGCAGTTAACCTGCTGGGTTGCAGGGAGCCCTGCAGCTCCCTGTGGCTTGGCACCGCAGCCCAAGTGATGAGCTCCACTATACTTAGCACCCTGATAGCAACAGGGTGTAGCCCCATTCAGGGCTGTGCCACATATACAGGGGAGCTGTCAACCAAGCCTCACTATGCAACCTCCATCAGGCTTCATGGCAGGAACCCTGTAACATTCAATTCAAGGTGCAACGGAAACCAACCACAAAAATATTACATATGCTATGGAATAATTTTGTGGCCAGTTTCTCATTTTGTCATGCCACTAATTGCCTGAACCTGTGGTTGGGGTACTATTTTACACATAGTTAACAGATTAATCAAGTCTTAAATGTAACCTCTGCCTTATTCTGGTACAGCAGTGGCATAACACGCTATAGCTGATGTGTGATTTCAAGCAAAAAATCTGTCTTCATCTTTACATGATTTAAAGTTGCAGCTGCCCACAGCCAGTGAATCGCTTGTCAGAACAGGACTCGGGCTTTGAAGTCACTCTAGGTGCTTTTGAAAAACACACCCATGAACTAGTTCAGTGTTGTTCAGCTTGTAGGTCATGATGAATGGAACACATAAGGCAACTGGGTGAGAGATTGCCAAGCACTGAAAATGGTGTTAGACTCTAAAGCAGGGGTCAGGGACCTGCAGGCTGTGGGGTGGATCTGGCCTGCAGTGTCATTTGATCCAAGCCGGGAACACAGGGCTTCTACAGCATTTACTTCTACCTATTGCTTCTTGGAAAAGTGGCAGAGACAGCCGGGGATCTAGACTAGATGCTCTAATGGGAGCAGCTGATCCCTTGCTTTCTGATTCCATTGAGCTGTTCCTGGGTTGGGCTATTTATTTCTCTGTTAACCCTTTCTATTTGTTAAATGAATGTATAAATGAAGCTCTGTGTTTAAAGACCCTGGCTGCTTTTACCTGGAGTATGGCAAAACTTTGCCTTGAATGACTTTCTGGAAATAATTTTCCATTATCATTTCATTGACTCTTAGCTCCCTCATGTACAGAAAGCACTAACTTAGCGGTAAGTTACAGTGCAAAAATTATAATTACCACTAAAACAAAGATCTATAATTGGACAGGGTCATAATTCCAATAGAGAAGGATGCATCATGAGATAGAGCTAATTGTTGCAATGATGTTCTAATATTGATTTCACAATGGATTTGTGTCATTGTAGGTGCAATGAGATTATCATTAGGCACAGCGAGAGATCTTCATGGTGATTTCTCTTCTAATGCCAGATTTTGCAGAAGACATTAATGAGGTGGCATAGACCATTTTAATGAAGTGTTATAGAGCATGGGTGAAAGGATGAAAAATTCTCACTGGGTGTGATTTGTTAATTATAATATGCACAGTGGCTACCACTTTTGTCTGGATTGTCCTTTAAATGACAAGTTACATAATTTTTCTTTTGTGCTTTGGTCAAGACAAGTCAGTGAGGTGGCCATATGCTTTGCTCATCTCCAAGTGACTCAAGTATGATGCAGGAAGGGATGCACAGGGAACTGTTGAGAAAGGTGAAATTCCTACCAACGAGGTTTGATTCTAGAGTGGCCTGTTGAGGAGGGGTGAAGGAATCACTGTTTGATTAAAACTAGTCTGGATAGAGAACAAAGTTGTAGATAAATCTACATTGGTCAGGAGTGCAGACTGCATAATGTTTCAGGAGTCTCCTCTCTCTCGTCTCCGAATTGTGTGCTTTCTGTCAGACCACATCAGTGATGTATTCAGTAGATGTCCTGGAGAGTCTGGTAACAACCATCAACTCATCCTTGTGGTAGGGCATGTGCATGCTTGTATGATGCCTGTGGGCCAGCCTTAACCTACCGCTGAACCTGAGAATTGAGTAGCAGCTACTGTATGTGCAGATTTCCACTGATTGCTAGGCAAAAGGCTTTGTTCCTTTCAAATGAAGACCTGGTGGCCATGACTATTTATGTATTCCTCATCTGCAGGGTGAACTGACACAGCTTTCCATCCTTGGGTCCTGACAAGAAAGCCATAGCACTCGTGCGCCATGTCGAGTTCCATCCCCTAACCCACCAGTGGGACACAACCCATGCCAGCCCCCTACACATCATCCAGTCCCATTTGCCATTCTAGCAGGGCTTTGCTAAGCCATTAGTAGTGCGTCCATCGTCTGAGAGCCTCCTTGTTCAGGGAAATGCTTAGCAAGAGCTAGGATCATTTAGCATGCCATGTTTATTGGAAGCTGTACAGAATGGAGCAGGAGGCAGCAGCACTTACTTGATTTTGAGTCCCATGACACCCTTCCAAAGGCAAGCATGAAGCATCTTGTGCTCACCATCAAGCCAGTCTTCAAGGTTAGGGTTCTTAAAGATTTATTCAGCAGGAAATCAGATGCATCCTCAAATAAACTGTCTTTTATTAACCAGAGACCAGGATGGACGACTTACAGGGTGCTGGTATCAGGAACCTGATGGTGCCAGGCCAAAGGCAGATATTAACAGGCTCTCTTCATTGGGTACTATACCAGGATA